TTAGCTCTTCTTGTTTTATCGATCCTTTTACCATTATGTAATGGCCTTCTTTGTCTCTTTTGATCTTTGTTGCTTTAAAGTCTATTTTATCAGAGATGAGAATTGGAACTCCTGCTTTTTTTTGCTCTCCATTTGCTTGGTAAATCTTCCTCCATCCCTTTATTTTGAGCCTTTGTGTATCCTTGCATGTGAGATGGGTTTCCTGGATACAGCACACTGATGGGTTTTGGATTTTTATCCAATTTGCCAGTCTGTGTCTTTTGAATGGTGCATTTAGTCCATTTACATTTAGGGTTAATATAGTTATGTGTGAATTTGATACTGCCATTTTGATGCTAAGTGGCTGTTTTGCCTGTTGGTTGTTGTAGATTCTTCATTATGTTGATGCTCTTTAACTTTTAGTGTGATTTTGGAATGGCTGGTACTGGTTGTTCCTTTCTATGTGTAGTGCCTCTTTTAGGAGCTCTTGTAAAGCAGGCCTGGTGGTGACAAAATCTCTGAGTACTTGCTTGTTCGCAAAGGATTTTATTTTTCCTTCACTTATGAAGCTCAGTTTGGCTGGATATGAAATTCTGGGTTGAAAGTTCTTTTCTTTAAGAATGTTGAATATTGGCCCCCACTCTCTTCTGGCTTGTAGAGTTTCTGCCGAGAGATCTGCTGTGAGTCTGATGGGCTTCCCTTTGTGGGTAACTCGACCTTTCTCTCTGGCTGCCCTTAGTATTTTCTCCTTTATTTCAACCCTGTTGAATCTGACGATTATGTGCCTTGGGGTTGCTCTTCTTGCAGAATATCTTTGTGGTGTTCTCTGTATTTCCTGCATTTGAGTGTTGGCCTGTCTTGCTAGGTGGGGGAAGTTTTCCTGGATGATGTCCTGAAGAGTATTTTCCAGCTTGGATTCATTCTCTTCGTCCCCTTCTGGTACGCCTATCAAATGTAGGTTAGGTCTTTTCACATAGTCCCACATTTCTTGGAGACTTTGTTCATTCCTTTTTGCACTTTTTTCTCTGATCTTGGTTTCTTGTTTTATTTCATTGAGTTGATCTTCGACTTCAGATATTCTTTCTTCTGCTTGGTCAATTCGGCTATTGAAACTTGTGCATGCTTCGCGAAGTTCTCGTATTGTGTTTTTCAGCTCCTTTAATTCATTCATATTCCTCTCTAAGTTATCCATTCTTGTTATCATTTCCTCATATCTTTTTTTAAGTTCCTTAGTTTCTTTGCATTGATTTAATATATGTTCTTTTAGCTCACAAAAGTTTCTCATTATCCACCTTCTGAAGTCTAATTCCGTCATTTCGTCACCGTCATTCTCCGTCCAGCTTTGCTCCCTTGCTGGTGAGGAGTTTTGGTCCTTTCTAGGAGACGAGGTGTTCTGGTTTCGGGTGTTTTCCTCCTTTTTTCGCTGGTTTCTTCCCATCTTTGTGGGTTTATCCGCTTGTCGTCTGTGTAGTTGCTGACTTTTCGATTGGGTCTCTGAGTGGACACCCAGATTGTTGATGATGAAGTATTTCTGTTACTTGGTTTTCCTTCTACCAGCCTAGCCCCTTCACTGTACGACTGCTGAGGTCCACTCCAGGCCCTGCTTGTCTGGGGTGCACCTCTAGCAGCTGTGGCACAATGAGGGATGCTAACCATTTCTTTTTCTGCTATCTTTGTCCCAGGATGATGCCTGCCAAATGTCAGTCTTTTGGATATAGAGGGGTCAGGGAGCTGCTTGAGGAGACAGTCTGTACTTTTTTGGAGCTCAATTGCTGAGCTGTGAGCTCTGTTGTTCATTCAGGGCTGTTAGGCTGCTATGTTTGATTCTGCTGCAACAGAGCTCATTTAAAAAAACCCTTTTTTTCTCAAATGCTCTGTGTTGGGGGGGTTCGGGCTTTATTTTTCCATGTCTGATGAGGTGTCCTGCCCAGCTAGAAGGCAGACTAGCCACTGTTTGGCTGCCAAGGCTCCGCCCTGCTGTTGTGTGATTCGCCGTTCCTGCAGGCTCTGCTGTGGTCTCCGCCATCCCCTGCGGTGGAGTCTCTTCGTTGTAGCGTGTTGCCTTGGCAACGGCAGACTGCGTCAGCAGTGGGTGTGTATCTCAGTAGGGACGGGTTGCCTTGGCAACGGAAGGCTGCGTCAGCAGTGGGCGTGTATCTCAGTAGGGACGGGTTGCCTCGGCAACGGCTGGCTGCGTCAGCAGTGGGCGTGTATCTCAGTTGGGGCGGGTTGCCTCGGTAGTGGTGGACGCCCCTCCCCCACAGAGCGTCTCGGACCGTCTGCTCGGGATAGTTTGAAATCACGGTTTTGTTCATCCCACTGGGTATCCCAAACGATCTGTCCCTGCAATCCCCTGGGCTGGCCTACTGTCCAAGTCTCGTTCAGTCTCAAGTCCAGCCCTCTCAAGTCTCAAGTTGCCAGTTCAACAGGGCAACCGGACAAGTGCGCCCTGTGGGGATTGCTGGGTAGGGCCGGCAGCTGCCGCCCCGGCTGCCGGCTTCGCCAGGCAGACCTACTGCCTGACGTCCCGTGTCTTTTTTGTACTTGGGAGTTTCCCCGTTCTGTGGGCAACAACGATCAGTATGGAAATGCAGCTCCGACTCACCTGTTTGTGGATTCAACGAGAGCTCCAATCCTGGGTTGTTCTCACAGTGCCATCTTGAGTCCTCCCCCCTCAATAGGTAGTTTTTCAACCTTCATCCTCCATCTTTGCTCCACCCACAATGTAGGCTATTGTTCCCCTCTTTGTGTCTATGTGTACTCAGTGTTTAGCTCCCACTTATAAGTAAGAACATGCAGTATTCGATTTTTCTATTCCTGCATTAATTTGCTTAGGATAATGGCCTCCAGATGCATCCATGTTGTTGCAAAGGACATGATGTTGTTCATTTTTATAGTTGTGTAGTATTCCATGGTATACATGTACCACATTTTCTTTTTCTTCCTTTTTTTTTTTGAGACAGAATCTTGCTTGTTGCCCAGGCTGGAGTGCAATGCCATGATCTTGGCTCACTGCAACCTCTGCCTCCTGGGTTTAAGCAATTCTCCTGCCTCAGCCACCAGAGTAGCTTGGATTATAAGCAAACACCACCATGCCCGGCTAATTTTTGTATTTTTAGTAGACATGGGGTTTCACCATGTTGGTCAGGCTGGTCTCGAACTCCTGACCTCATCATCTGCCCACCTCGGCCTCCCAAAGTGCTAGGATTACAGGCGTGAGCGACTGCACACAACCATTTTTTTTATCCAGTTCATCATTGATGGGCATGTAAGGTTAATTCCAGCTGCTTGCTATTGTGAATAGTGCTGTGATGAACACATGAATGTATGTGTCTTTTTGGTAAAATGATTTTATTCCTTTGGGTATGTACCCTGTAATGGGATTGCTAGGTTGAATGGCAGTTCTGTTTTACGTCCTCTGGAAGAGAAATTTCCAGACTGCTTTCCATAGTAGTGGAACTAATTAATATTCCCACCAGAAGTTGTATGTGTTTCCTTGTCACCACAATCTCATCACCATCTGTTATTTTCTTACTTTTTAATAACAGGCATTCTGACTGGTGTGAGCTGGTATCTCACTGGGCTTTTGACTTGCATTTCTCTAATGGTTAGTGGTATTGAACATTCTTTCATATGCTTTTTGACCACATATATGTCTTCTTTTGAGAAGTCTAATTTCAAACTATACTACAAGGCTACAGTAACCAACACAGCATGGCACTGGTACAAAAGCAGACACAGAGACCATTGGAAGAGGTTACAGAACCCAGAAATAAAGCTGCACACCTACAACCATCTGATCTTCAACAAAGTCAACAGTAACAAGCAATGGGGAAAGAACTCTGTATTCAATAAAAGCCACTGGGATAACTGGCTAGCCAAATGGAGAAGACTGAAACTAGACTCTTTCCTTCTTTTATACATAAAAATCAACTTAAGATAGATTAAAGACTTAAATGTAAGACTTACAAGTATAAAAAAAACCCTAGAAGAAAACTTGGGAAATACCATTCTGAACACAGGCCCTGGCAAAATTTTATGATGAAGTCTCCAAAATCAATCACAGCAAAAACAAAAATGACAATTGAGACCTAATTAAACTAAAGAGTTTCTGCACAGCAAAAGAAACTGTCAACAGAGTAAACAATCTAAAGAATGGGAGAAAATATTTGCAAACTATGCATCTTAACAAAAGTCTAACATCTAGAGTCTATAAGGAAATTAAACACATCAACAAGCAAAAAACAATGCAATTTAAAAATGAGCAAAGGAAATGAACAGACACTTCTTCTATGGTTTGAATGTGTTCCCCAAAGTTCATGTGTTGGAAACTTAATCCCTAATGCAACAGTGTTACGAGGTGGGACATTTAGGAGGTGATCAGGTCATGAGGGTTCTTAACTCATTAATGGATTAATGTCATTGGTATCAAAGTGGGGTAGTTATCTTGGAAGTAGGTTCCTGATAAAAAGGATGAGCTGGGCCCCCTTCTTCACCTTCCTTACTCATGTGCATACTTTTTTGCACTTTCAACTTCTGCCATGAAATGATACAGCACGAAGGCCCTTGCATGATGTGGGTCCTTAGATCTTGGATATTCCAACCTCCAGAATGGTAAGAAATAAATCTCTGTTCTTTATGCATTACTCAGTCTCGGGTATTCTGTAGCAGCACAAAACAGACTAAGACGATACTTGAGAATACAAATGGAAAACAGGAATCCCTAAGGTAATGAAGGGTGGAAGGGACAAGATTCACATAATATCCCTTCATCCATGCAGGAATCAAAAACTGCAAAGATTACCATCAGTAAAGATACAGTCGACTCAAACAGCTGACAAAGACAGTTATTTCATTTTTGGAAAATCTGTATCAAGTCTGTTTAAATAAAGTTCCATCTGCATAGTATAAAACATTCTTGCATGGTAGTAAGAATGCTGTTACTTTTATTCGCATTCACTATAATTCTTTACTTTGATCAAAACCGAAGGATTTAAAGATAGGTTTTCAAGGTAACCTACCTGCAACTGCATAACCACATAGTTGAATCGATCATTCCTCCCACAGCCAATAAATCTACAAACATGGTCTTTCCCTGGATAAGAAAAAAAAGAAAACAGTGGAAAAGAATATACTATGATTTCTCTTAAAAAAATAATTTGCTTTTCTGTATAGTATTTTATTATTGAATATAAAATATATCTTGAGAATCTTAAGGATAGAAAACTTATATTATTCAAATTTTCTACCTACCTCGTCTCCTCCCAGGCATTGTACTATTACTTCTTGTGGTCAAATAGATGAATATTTGAATAAATCAATAAACAAATTAATATATGAATGAGGAAACAAATGTATGGTAATTTATTTAGGGAGGAAAAGATTAAGCGGTCATTTCAGATTAAGCTGCCTGGATACAATGCATATAAAGCCACAGGAGAGCAATAAGCAAGAAGTATGTTAGGAATATAAACCCTGAATTTTAAATAAGTTATGGTACTCACTGTTATGACTTTAGCAAGACAGACAATCTTTCTGGGCCTCACTGATGCGGATTAGCCCAGTGATTTTCAATCTGAGTTCCGGCTGAGAAACCCAAAATAGGGCTGGCTGAGGCATAGCGGGGAGCAGAGGTACAGCAAAAACCTGATTAAAGAAAAGCATGCAAAGACCCCCAAAAAGAACGGAGCCACATGTATAGGTTAGTGCTTTTCAGCCCTGGCTACTTATCAAAACCATCTGGAAAACTTTATTTTTGTTTTATGACACCACTGACCCAAAGGCAGTGGAAAGCTTTTTAAAGATTCCTAAGTTCTATAGATTCAGAATTTGTGGAGAAAGAGACAGAATATGAGCTTTTCAAAAGTTGGTTGTTATTTTTTATTTTTTTGAGACAGTCTCACTTTGTTGCCCAGGCTGAAGTGCAGTGGCATGATCTTGGCTCACTGCAACCTCTGACTCCTGGAGGGCTCAAATGATTCTCCCACCTCAACCTCCTGAGTAGCTGGGACTACAGGTGTGTGCCACCACACCTGGCTGATTTTTGTATTTTTTGTAGAGACGGGGTTTTACCATGTTGCCCAGGCTGGTCTCAAACTCGGAGGCTCAAGTGATCTGCCCACCTCAACCTCCCAAAGTGCTGAGATTACAGGCATAAGCCACTGTACCTGGCCTCAAAAGTTCTTGGCCTACGGGTGCAGTGGCTCATGCCTGTAATCCCAGCACTTTGGGAAGGCTGAGGTGGGCATATCAAGAGGTCAGGAGTTTGAGACCAGACTGGCCAAGATGGTGAAACACAGTTTCTACTAAAAATATAAAAATTAGCTGGGCATGGTGGCTGGTGCCTATAATCCCAGCTACTTGGGAGGCTGAGGCAGGAGAATCACTTGAACCTGGGAGGCTGAGGTTGCAGTGAGCTGAGATCACACCATTGCACCCTAGCTTGGGCAACAGAGCAAGACTCCATCCCAAAAAAAAAGGCTCTTTAAATGATCCTAAAGCAGGTAAGGCACGGATAGATATTTGAAAACTACTGCAGGGTAATGAGAAGTAACAAAAAGATTTTAAGATAAAGAATAACATACTTAACACTGTGGTGGCAATGAGGAGAGCAGGCTACAAAGGTGAGTCTAGTGGAGAAGTTCACTCTGGGGATAGTTACAATAGCCAGGAAAAATAATAAGGGGATTAGAGAAAGATAAAATAAGATAAATCTGAACTATATTAAAGATGGAGTTTTTTTACTAGAATTGGTAAAATTAAATGAAAAGTTGTACCAAAGTAAGAGAATACAGTAGGTTGTATAGATTTTAAGGGATATTAAAATGCTGACTTTGAGGACAATCTATTGAATTCAGTAGACATTGTGTCAGTTCAGACCTGGTGCTGAGACCAAAAGGCAGAGCTCCAGATGCATTAGTGAGGAACCATTAGTTCATGGACAATAGGTGGAAGATTGACAAGGAAAGAATAAAATAGAAGAAGAAACTTAAGCACATAATTTGGAAAATGTAACATTATTATTATTTTTAAGACAGGGTCTCACTATCTTATGGAGGCTGGTGTCAAACTCTGGGCTCAAGCAATCCTCCCACCTCAACCTCCCAAAGTGCTGGGATTATAGGCGTGATCCAACATGCCCACCCTAGAAAATCCAACATTCAAAGCATGAGCAAAAACAAAAGTCCCTCAAGGAAATAGAGTAATAGCCTGAAAGATAGGAGGAAACTGAGAGAGGGTATCACAGAAAGCAAGGGAGAAGAACATTTCATGAAGATGGAAGTGGACACTGACAAGTATACAGAAAGGCTGAGAAGAACTAATATAAACAGGAAGTCATTAGTGAGTCAAGGGGCAGAAGCCATTTTATAATGGGTTAAAGAGTAAATGGAATACGAAATATGAGGGTAGACAGCCTCTGAAGGAGCTTGCTTGAAAGTAAGGAAGAGTAACAGGCCAAAGCTTGAAGATGAAGGTTTGGTAGACTAATGAAACACTCAGAAAAAAATTTGCCTCCTAACTGACTTCAAATATAAATATGACTAAGACTCAACAAAGCCAGGTGCAGTGGCTTCACCTATAATCCCAGCTACTTGGGAAGCTAAGGTGGGAGGATTGCATGAGACCAGGAGTTTGAGACCAGCCTGGGCAACATAGCAAGACCCCTTCCCTTAAAAAAAAAAAAAAAAAAAAAAAGACTCATTTTTTCACACCTATCAGTTACAACATTGCTCTTTCATTCTCTATGTTTTTGTTTAAAAAGGGGGTTATAAGCTAGCAAGAATGGGTACAGTGTTATCTATCAGTTACAACATTGCTCTTTCATTCTCTATGTTTTTGTTTAAAAAGGGGGTTATAAGCTAGCAAGAATGGGTACAATGGAGAACACAATTTAAAAAAATTGTTCTTGGCCAGGCGCGGTGTATACAGTACATGTTGACCACTTAAAATATTTTACATATATTTGCAAAACTGTGATCTATTAAATTGTCATAAGAATGAAAGGATAAAATGATGGTCAATTAGCAACTTACTCTTGTCCTCAGCTTCAAAGAAACAATAAAAAATAAGTTACATATTGTTTTCCTTGTATTACTCATTCCCTAAGACTCTCCTTTTCTATCATGTAACAGTTAAATACAGTATCTAGAGTAACATATCTCAATTATCTAAAAGTTAAACACCATGTGGAGGCTAAAACAACTCATGGATACTAATCTGCCATGTTGACTTCCAATTAACCCCAGTTCCAGGAAAGCCTGTAAGCAGTCCAGTTTATCTGCTGTTCCTTGTGTAAGAGCACATACTTACCACAAATCCTGCCCTTACGACCAAAAAAAAAACCTTGACATAATTATATTTCAATTGTCCTACACATCCCCCTTGAAGCATGTATACCTCAAGGGTATATATATGGTATTTAAGCCCTGGGTGTAGGTGACAATAGAGTGGGAATCCACCATCTTGTCTTGCTACTGCCTGAGCCATAGACATGGCTGCTGCTTCTAAGAACCTATTAAATATTTCTTTCTGAGGAACTGGATATTTCAGCCACTGTCTTTGGCCTCTCAGCTTCCTTGGATTTGAGGCAAGTTTGCACTGACCTACCCATTGTGGAAGAGACCATATTAAATCTAACTCCTGTTAGAGTGCTTCTTTTAAAATTGAACTCCAAAGTTATACCAAAACACAATTTATCTTCATACTAAAACCACCTGACTTTTAAAAAGAAAAAAATGTAGAAATTAAATAAACTGTAGATCCATTTACTGAATAATCAAAACACAAACCCAGCAGCAAATATTCTAGGATTCATAAGTACATCTTCATTCCTTTTATGAGTTCCATTCCTTTTATGAGTTCTTATCTCATACTTCATGGCATAGTGTGTTGCTGCTCTTCCATTTTACATATATATGCAAATAATGAAACTACTAAATAAAGTTAGTTCAATAAAAATATACAAATTTTTGGAAGCACAAAGGAACTGCAATTAAATTGGAGAAGTAATTCTTCACTACCACTTATAGCAAGTGTTAAAACTTTTATAATAACTACACAGTGAAGTATCACTCCATGAGTACAGGGACCTTATCTATCTTGTTCTGGTACTGAAAACACTTTTGCAAAAACTGTAACAGTGAGAGACATCTAACATAGCTGACTCCATCTTGCTTTTACTCTGACAAGCTAACTGCTTTTACTCATCCCAACACACAGGCCAAGCTGACTATGGAAGGAACTTAGTTTATAGGTCCAACTTTAAAGCAAGGATGATAATAGCCCTTTCTCAAAACTAACTCTTTGTTTGGGGACAGAAACTGCCATTGTAAAACTAATGAAAGACCACAAACAGAATTATGGTAGGGATCTAAATTCTGTTAAGGTTTAGGTACAGTTAATAATAACTAGTCATTGTTTCCTAACTTGCCTTTTTTGTAACTGCCTACTACTCAGGAGTCACCAGCTGGTGGTTATAAGATTTGCAACTTTTCAATTGTTGCTACTGATAACATTGCTATTGTAAAACCTAAGACTGGTGTTTGAGATATTTTTCAGACTTTGCAGTGGACCAACTGACACCACCCAGGTGTCCTTCACCCAGGAAATGACTCAGCAAATGAAGACAGTTTAAATATTCCTATGATTTCATCCCCAACTCAACCAATCAGCAGTCCCCATTCCCTATCCCCCTGACCACCAAACTATCCTTAAAAACTATTCCTCCAAATTCTTGGGGAGGAAGATTTGAGAAATATCACACATCATCCTCACTGAGCCACACTGCAATTATTAAACTCTCTGCTGCAATAACCATCTCACAGCTTGGCCTATGTGTAGGGATATGCCTTTTCTGTGCAGCAGGTAAGAAGAACCTGCTAAGCTGTTAACAGTACCTGGCAAAATACCCAGTAAAGACTGGGTTTTGTGATTAAATGCTCAATCAATATGTATAAATAAATGAATAGAAGTAATAACAGCTAATAAAATGTGCATAATATGGGTCAGGCGCAGTGGCTCATGCCTATAATCCCAACACTTTGGAATGCTGAGGTGGAGGACTGCTTGAGTCCAGAAGTTACCATCCTGGACAAC